ACAACACTGGCCGACTGAGGGCGTATTTTTCTATCTGTATTATCACCTCATGAATATTAATTTTAATAATTAACACAAACAATTACAATAAAAAATGGTTTATAAATTGAAATAAAGGGAAACTATACATGCGAAAAACACATTTTTTTACAAATTTAATGCATTTTCAGGAAGCTTGGGTAATTTTGGGCAATATTTGCTGAATCTTGGGTAATTTCGACCCAGTCATTGGGTATATAAAAAATTGTGAGTGGTCACGCTGGTTAGAACGTTGAAGATTGTTATTTGGGTGTTTGGAAAAGTGGTCTCGAAGAGGGGGTATCGAATTGGAGGGAGCACTGCATAATTCTTTTCATGAAGCATTAAAAAACGTATTGTACGTAGGCCTATTTAGAACAGAAAGTATATACAGCTTCAGGTTACAGGCGGAAAAGCTTCTATTATAGACGTTTTACTACTACGAACATTAATTCTTTAAAAAAAATGCAGAGACATAAATCCCATACCATTACGGATCAAAGACCATCAGATTCCTTCCAATTAATACATATCCAATTTTAAAAGAGGTAGCAGCAGGTGAATCAAGTAAATCATAAATAAAGTTGCTGCAAAGCACAGGGAACACAAATAATGCAGTTTTAACCCGTCTGTTAATTGGCGAGGACAACTTTGTTTAGTCTAAAATTCAGTTGAAAGCTAATAATTTCTAATAATTGTTGAAACATCAAAATGGTGCAATTATTATTATTTTAATGTTCAAATGTGTATACAAAGCTGTACGTTCAAAAAATGCAATGGCGCCATCTATAATATTGTAATGAAAAAACGGAAACATAAACAAACTGAATTCGTTTACAGCATGCAGAAAGGAATTAATTATTTTAGAAATTTGATCAGGTATTAAGTAAATAAGTTATCGTTTGTAGTAGTCAATACCCATACTACAAGTTTTAGAGGTCAGGCTTAATGGACTATATAACTAAGCTAGGACTAGGGCCTAGGCTAGATAGGTAGGGCTGCTGTACGTTTCGCGGCCTCCTATCCTATGCCTAGTTTAGGCAGGTTTAGGTTAGGCTAGGCCATTCCCCCTGCCTGGCATTACAAGCTAGTCCCTCTCTCTAGGATGGAGGAAGGGCCCGGTCCTTTCTGAATCCTCACCAGGCTAGGCTAAGTCCAGGTCTGGTGAAGGGCTAGAGAAGCAGGACAAGCTGGCTAGACAGTAGGACTAATTTAGGCCTTGCCTCAGGCTCTGGTGGTTATATTGTTACTGATTTTGAAGAAGTAACTGAGCTGAGACGAACTTTTTTATGAAGTGCTCTTAAAAAAAATCGGGAAAAAAAACAGAACAACAGGATCAAAAGAAAAGCATCTTCATGAGCTAAGCCTAAATAATAATCAACCTATAAAAATTGAAAATTCAATTCCTTATTTAATTTGGTGCTTATTATTTTTTTAAAATTTTATTCGTTGTTTATAATAATATTTTTTCTTCAATTTTAATGATATTGTATTTTCTTTAATTGTGACATTGTAACATAAGTTTGAATGATATTGGAATATTCTTCTCATTTTTTTTTGTTCTTGTTACCAAAACTTTGAAAGCGTTCAGCATCGGCAGTTTTAAGGTGATTTCCAATAACAAATGTTCATCGCCTTTTTTTTAATTCGACCCCGGGGTTCCCCCTACACCTACAAAACAAAACAGGGGTTTCAGCATGGACTGTACATTACTGCCATTACCATTAATATGGCATTTCACATGGATGGCACGGTTGGTTAAGAATGTGTTCCAAAGAACTTAAGATCATGAATTTGAATCGCGTCTTGGTATTCATTTTTTTTTTTTGAAAAATTTTTCTTTTATTTTCAATTTTAAGATATTTTAATTTTGTACAAATGAACATTCAAAATATATTTTTTTTGTATGTATTCTAATTATTTAAATATTTCTATCTTATTAGCTCTCCCAAAAAAACCCAATATGATAGCGTGTACCATATTGGATCGGTGAGCGGTCGCTCTTGTTACATTTGACATTTGAATCTGCTTCCAACAAAACCAAGCAATTTGTCCATAAAAAGTTGATTGTGATGAGCTTATTTTAACATGATCACGTTTCACATCCACATGTCAAAGTTTTTAGTGATCCACGATTTATTTATTACCAAATTCTATCACCTAACTTACAAGTCCGACGAGAACTAGATAATTTGTTTTGAATGGCCTAAAACTGATATGTTTGTAAGGTGAGTGAGTAAGGAAAAATATTTTTTGTTTTTTGATTATGTAAAATTTGTAAATGCTATGGAAAGATTATTTTAATATTTTAAAATATTAAAAAAAATTCTCCTATTTTATCGTAGTCGTAACTCAGGTAAATAGATGGAACCTGAAAGATCAGAGGTCATACTTTGCTCACCGGATACAAAGGCGGATGTAGGAGAATCTCAGGAACTGGGAAGATATGAACAATTTGCAAATGAGAGGAATATTTCCACGACCTCACACCAACCAGGTACATTAAGGCTATTACTTACTTCCACACTGTCGTTTTATATCTTGTGTCAACACTATAAAAATATAGGAAGCTTTCGATTTGCGCAACAACGCTGTTCACTAATGCGTGACCGTCCTACACTATCTGCACAACATAGGTTTGGCAAAATTGCGTCCTAGAACCCACGCGACCGTGAGAACTCAACGTTCCCGCATGCGCTGATGACTTTATGTGAAATCATTACGTTCTACGTCCTACTGTCGTTATGCTATCAAAAGCTCCCTAATATCCGTAAAGCAATTTCACCAGAGGGCGCCAACTGGTATTTACACTTTCTTTTGGCATTAGATAAGAGTCAAAAATACTTCAGACAATATATTCATCTTTTATTTATTTATTTCCAATATTATAATCTACAAATCACAGTAAAAACAGAATTGCTTGGAATTTGTGATATAAAATTTCAAAAGAGAAAAAAAAAAAGAAAGACAATCAAAAACAATTCAAAAAGAGAACAAGAAGAAACGACAATAAAGAAACAGTTGGAAAACAGTAATACAGAGAGTACAGAGAAATGATTAAGATATTAATACAAGTATTTACAAATTTTATATTTAGAAAAAATAGATTATCTAAATTGTTAAAACAGGCTTAATAGTACAGTTTAACCTGCTTAAGTCGAATCCAAAAGGGCATTGAAAAATTTTGACTTAGGGTTAGATAAAATTTGACTTACAGATGGTTAGTTTATGGAAAACACAAAAATTTGGCATGCAAAATAAGATCTACTTAGAAATTATTTGAGTTAGACAAAGTGGACTTAGGGTCGTTCACAATTATCAACATTTTAATATTAAAGTGTACAAACAGAACGCTGAGGGGGAGGGGTAGAATATTTTGTACAATGGTTAATACAACATGAATGAAATCAATGAAAAATCAAATATGCATGTCAAGTGATCCATAATGAAACCTAAGGCCTATGTAAATCAATGAAGTTATAATAGTATAAAAAGAAATTTACAGTAGCCTAAAAAGAAATTGTTGAACATTTTAACAACCTAATTTTGCAATTCAGTTTCTCAACTGCCATATATTATTTTATGTATAATTTATATTGATGTGAGTAGAGATG